TGTGGGAGGGAAACTGAGGCTCCGGGCCAGCGAGGAAAGGCGCGAGATCCCCCAGCGGGAGTCGGCGCCTCACTGAGCGTTCGGCTTTTCTTCCCAGCCCTCCCCCTCCCTCCTCTCTCTGCGCCTCCTCCCTCCAGGGGGTTCTGAGCTCTCTTTCTATTTCCGGATACTACCACGTTGCCCCCTCTTTCTCTTCTGCTCCCAGCCTCCTCCTCCTCCCTGGCTCCCCCCTTTCCATTTCTGGGTGCTGCTGATGTCAGCGGCTTCCCCCTTCAGGTTCCCGAGCCCCCCTCGGTCCCAGGCGCCTTCTCCCGTCTTCCCAGATCCGGGCAGCTGGAGGGGCGTCCTTCACTCCGGGGGTGGGGCTGCACCCTGAGACCCCTGGCTCTGGGGCTGGCAGATCGAGAGGGGGCTGTCAAACTGCCCCCAGCTCGCGGTGGAGGTTCAAGAAGAAACAAGTCACGTGTCTCCCCTCAGTAGCTCTGAGGAGACATTTGGGGCCATGGAGATAGGGCTGGAGTAGCACCAGGAGGGAGGTGGGGGGAAGGCGGCGTTCGGAGAAGGAACCTGGGGGTTCCAGAGAGAGGAGAAAGGGCTAAAGGAGACTGGAGGCGAGAACATCCTCTTTCCTGGGGGTCCGGACGAGCAGGAGCCCTCCTCTAGGTGGGGTGTTTGGCCCTCTGCCGTGAGGCAGAGGAATGCCCCCGATGACCCTCAGGCCCACACACGCAGTCGTTTTTGGAGACTCAAGAAACGGGGACACGGGGAGGCCAGCCGAGGCCCCACCTTTGCCCTCCTTCCTCTCATCTTTCCTTTCAGCTTGTCCAGGGGGCTGAGCCCCACCGGGAGTCTCTGGGCGGCCAGAAGATTCCTGACTGGTCAAGAGTCTGAGCAAAAGAAGGGCCAGGAATCCTGGCACGGGAGCCCCCCACCAGGGCCCCGCCCGGCATGAAGGCTGAGGGCCGCCTCTGCTGACCCTCGGCCTCCACAGCCCTCAGCTGCCAGTCATGCGATGCCGAGCGGCTGGGCGGGCTTGAGGGCGGCCTGCCGCGCTCCAGGGCAGGGAACGCAGACATCATGGGGGCGTGTGTGAGCGGGGCCCCTGGGTGAGG